GGGTCTCACTATGTAGTTGAGACTGACCTGGAACGCACTATGTAGCCCAGGCTGGTCTGGAACTCACAGCGATCCTCCTGCCTCATCCTCCTGAGTGCTGGGATTACAGGCGTGCGCCACCACACCCAGCTTGGCTAAAATCAAGTGTAGCATTTGAGGCAGCCTGCCCTTCCTGGTAACCGGCTTCTTCCCAGACTCCAGCCCTGACTTCTTCACTATGTGGAGTCACTGTGCTAGGTTATAAGGGACAGTATCAGCCTTCTAGCAGGAAATGCAAAAAGGGAAGATAGAGGCAATACTCCCAGACTAGAGGGAAAGACTGCTAGAAACTGTCATCACAGACAAGCTTGAGCCACAAGAGATGAGATTAGAACCTGAGAAGCCAGGCGAGGTGGCACATGCCTATAGTCCCAGCACTTGGGAGGCTGAGGCAGGAGGACTGCCATGAGTTCAAGGCCAGCCTGGGCTACATAGTGAGTTGAAGGAGTTGAAGGCCAGCCTGAACTACATAGTGAGAATCTGGGGGAGTGGGGATTAGAAACTAAGAATATTTATTTATTTATTCTGGAGCTAGGTTCTCATTATATAGTCCATGCTGGCCTTGAACTCACTATGTAGCCCAGGCTGGCCTCAAACTCCTGGTGATCCTCTTGCCTCAGCCTCTCTGAGGGCTGGGATTACAGGTGTGCACCACCACACCTGGCCCTATTTGTTTATTATTCATATTTGAGGTGCTAGAGATCAAACCCAGAGCCTGGAACACATTAAGCAAGCACTCTACCGCTGTGTTCCACCACCGGACATGTCCTCCTTTTTCGCGTATTTGCTTTACGTTGCTTACTGACGTAGGCTTTGGAGGTAGCACTAGGTCCACGTCTCTATTTTACCACTCGGTAGCTAAAGGACTCGGGAGAACATTACTCCATTTATCTGGGTCTCAGCTCCCTTACCTGTAATAATGGGGACAATTCCACACACCTCCCAGAGAGGCTGAAGAATTAAGTTGATGGAGGAACATCACCTTGCATATTGTAGGTGTTTAATAGATATTACTTTTTTCCCCCTTCCTCCTTTCCTTTAGCAAGCAGACAAATAAAATATTAAAACCCTCAGAGAAAACTGAAAGTAAATTTTGTGTTCTATGACCTCTTGTTGTTTTAATCCAAACTTTGGTTCCCGGTATAATTTTATAATCTGGTAGAGAAATTCTGTGAAGGCAGAGTTTAACTTTATAGACCTAGCCTGGTACCAGGCAAAAGGTACATGCTAGGTAAAAGACTGTTAAATGGATATATGTTGGATTTAATAGAAGCAGAGGCTGGTACACACGGAGGACATATAGGAAGCATTAAGTCAGAATTACTGCTGTGAAAAGGAATATATGAGTTATCAGAATCAAAACTGGAGTCACTCGTAGTGACCCTAACAACGAAAAAGCAAACAGAGCCAGGAGATTACGAAGGGAAGATTCTTACATACGATTGCCTGATACTATCTGTCACAAAGACTCTGCAAGACCACAACATTACACAGGCCAACTCCACACGATACAAAAAGTATTTCTACAAAGACATCTGTCCAGCAACTATTCAGTCTTGGGCAGCATTTTTGCTATTAATCATTATGGCTAAGCAGTACTGCTTCAAAAATATCTGATATAAGTCAGGCATGGTGGCACATGCCTGTAATCTCAACGCTGTGGGAGGCTGAGGCAGGAAGATTGCAAGTTTGAGTCCAGCCTGAGCAATTTAGCAGTTTAGGGAAAACTTGTCTCACAAGTTAAAAGTTTTTAAAAAGAGACTGGAAATGTAGCTCAGTGAGAAGACCCTGGGTTCAACCCCAGTCTGTTCAAATAGCTTGGTGGAATCTTTTCCCCAAGCTGGGAAGCTCTAGGTGCTCTGTTAATATTTCTCTCCTATTCAGCAGTGTTGACTCAGAAAGACTGAAACACGGAGAAACAAATATCCTCACCTCTCCACAAGGAAGTATAACCAATTTGGCTTTTCATAATTTTGAGCTTAGCACAGAGGATTAAGCCTAATAGATCAAACTAACTAGAATTCTCCATGATGCAAAGGCTATATTTAAATGCAGAATTCTTAGCATTTCCTGACCTACTTGGGGAGTAACTATTCCTATTAATTTTATTTATTTATTTATTTTTACAGAACCAGGGATCAAACTCAGGACCTTCCTACTAAAATTTTTTTTGGAACCATGAATTGAACTCAGGACCTTGTGGTTGCCAGGTAAATTTTCTATATTGATTTATTTTTTCAGACAGAGTTTCATTATGTAATTGAGACTGACCTGGAACTCACCATGTAGCCCAGGCTGGTCTTGAACTCAGCGATCCTCCTGCCTCAGCCTCTGGAGTGCTAGGATAGGATTACAGGCATGTGCCAGCATGCCTGGCTGCCAGATATATTTTAAAGACATATTTAGCATTAAGTTCCTTCAAAAGTGTGGGAGGTGTGTGAAAACCTACTATTTTGTGCTTATGGATAAGAACAAAAAAAAAGTGTCAAATTTCTCACCTCAGTGGTGCCAGGCCTGAGAGGGCTTCACCCAGTTAGTAATCCTGCCCTTGCCAAAGAGTAAGTCAGATTGCAGTGATTTTGTATGAGTCCTATCTTAGTAATACAATTTAACTCTCTGAAGGTTGAAAGCTCCCACCCTAATCCCCCAATTTTTGCCCTCCAATGGAAATAATATGCAGTTGTGCCAAGCCCACCAGCAGGCCTGCAATGGGGATGTTAAAATCCACAGTGACATCATCTTTTTTTTTCCTTCGGTTTTTTTCTTCTTCTTCGTCTTCCAGTAATGGGAAGGATCTTGCTCTTGCCAGGCAGGTGTGGTGTCACTGAGTTACATCCCCCTCCCTTTCTTCAGTTTTTTGAGGCAGGGTCTGGCTATGCAGTGCAGGTTGGCCTTGAACTCACTATGTAGCTCAGGCTAGCCTCAAACTTGTAGTGATCCTCCTGTCTCAGCCTCCCAAGTGCTGGGATTAAGCCAAGCATGGTAGCACATGCCTATAATCCCCTACCCCCAACCCAAACCAAGTACTGGGATACAGCATTCTAGGAAAGATGGTTGGTCCAGCTAAAAACGTGTGCCAAATTCTAATGATAGTAGAATAGTCTGATGCCCAGGGGCTGCTGCCAGAGAAAAAGCAGCGTTCCGGAAGTCACAGGTACAAGCTGGTGGACTGATACAATTTAGGAGTGACACCACCAAAGCAGAGGATACTTTAGAAGCATGCCTTCTGGGAGGAGGAGAAATTGGATGGACAAAAATGTCCCCCGCTTTCGGTCCCTGATTTTATCTTGTAGTGTCGCTGACAGTCACAATCACCCATCCACACTATTGGTTGCAGCAGCCACAAAACTTGTGTAGTCATAAAGGCTGGTGGTCAGATCAGCACGGCTCCCACTCCGGGGCCCGGCTGGGTACAATCTAATACACTCAGTCCCACCCTGCAGGGTCTGATGCCCTTACCTTTCAACAGCCATCCACCAGCTCCTCTACTCACCTGATTGCCAAACACGGCCACCGAGCAGGCTGTGGAAACTTCATCCGCCCCGAACCAGACCGAAGCGATGCGGGAGGGCATGCCCAGGATGAAGACCTGGGCCACGGAGCAGATGACCTGGCCCAGCACGGTGACCGGGAAGAGGTGGGGCTTCAGGCTGCCCAGCTTCACCCAGGCCCCCAAGCAGTTGAGAGCAGAGCCGGCGAGAGCGATGGTGCGCAGACCGTACTTCTCCAGCAGCCAGGCCACCGGCAGGAGCAGAGGGATGTAGGTCAGCATGTAGCACATGGACAGCCAGTCGATGGCGAAGGAACTGACCCCGTAGAAGTTCATGAAGATATTATTGATGGAGCCGTACTGGATCCACTGGAAGGCGTTGCACATGGAGTAGCAGCTGAACACCAGGACCACTGCCCAACGCCGCCTGCTCACCTTGATCACGCTGAGGTCCTCCGGGCCCAAGCTACTGGGCTGGACCAAGGTACTGGGGTGAGCCGAGGTACTGGGGTGCGCCGAGCTGCTGGGGTGGACCGAGACACTGGGGTGGATGGAGACGCTGGGGCGGGAGGACACGCTGGGGTCCCCGTGGACCGCGTCGCAGGGCTGCGCCGGGGTGTCATCGCAGTCTTCCCGGCTAGGACCTTCATTCACCATGACCACCGCGCTCTGGCGCAGTCCGAAGGGCCTTGCGCTGGTCCCTAGAGGGATGGGGCACTCGCTCAGCAGCGCAACCCAGCCCCAGGGGACGCGGAGAGACCCAGAGCTGCGTAAAAGCGGCCACCGGCGCTCCGGGCGCTCACTTCTCCCGAAGACCCCTGTCCTCACCCGCGGCAGCCGTGGTCCCCAGGC